GGAAAAATGAGGACCTAATGCTGGGGGTTTAAGTGGAGAGAAAATGTTTTGAGAATGATGTACAAATGTGCTTTGCGCAATTGACGTGTGTATGGATTGCGATAACAGTTGTATGAGCCCCTAATAAAATGTTTTTTTAAAAAAAGAAAAAGATCCAAATTAACATGGACTGCCCCAAACTAAACAGATGTAAAGGAGGTACAGTCAGGGTGCTCCTTTCACTTGAAACAGATGATATTCTATCTCCTTGTTTTTGGACATGTTATCCTGGGGAAAGCTAGTATGCTTCCTTCATAAAGTAGAGGGTCAGGGAAAAAGAGAAAGACCCCAAACAAGATGGACGCACAGCACTCGCTGCAACGGGACGGGGCTGAAGCATGACCGCAGTTCTGAGGAGGGGCAGCACTGGGCAGTGTTCCCTCATGGTGTACGTACAGTCGGTCGCTATGAGTCAGGGCGAACTGCAAACTCCTGAGCGCCTCATGACTTAGCGTCGCTAGGAGTCAGAATTGATTTGACGGCAGTGGGTTTGGTTTCATTAAAATTTTTGCTTCAGCAATTTTGCTAATTTCTAAGAATGTTGTTTTCCCTTTAAAAATAATTCTTGTAATCAAATCATTTTTTTGTGATTCAGTGTTTATACTCCATTTGACTCTGATTACATTAACTAATTTTTGTTGGATGTAGCTCAGATGTTTTTCTTTTTTTTGGTTTCTCTGGTTCTTGATTTATTTTGTTCCTTGCGGTGAGTTTTCCAGTTTGTCTAGTCTGCTCAGTCTTTCTCCTTAATGGAACAGGTTTTCTTCCCATAGTGGAGATCCTAGGTAGCTGAGTAAGGTTTTCTCTGGCATTAATATCAATAGAGATCTTTCCCAGCTCTGTTTCTCTCCTGAGTAGGAATGATGCTAGGAAACTCCAGATGGAGCAGGGCTGGGGTGTACTTTGGGGTGGGGTGATGGGAGGCCAGCTGTCAGCTGCCCTCAAGTATCAGAGTGATGTGTTTAGTTTCTTGCTGTGGGAATGCTAGTCAGCACATTAGCTCATTTAGGAATCTTTGACATAGCCATCCTTTGTAACGCTGCTTTTTAGTCATACTTTCTGACTCAGAGGCCAGGTCCTTTCCTTCTGAAGCTTCCCATCATTTTCCAAGCGCTGATCGCCCTGTCCATTTTCATTGGTCCGCTTCCCTCCCACTTTGTCAGGTATTTCTTGAAACCACATATCCGTTGATGACCAACAACACCTCTAGTCCTCCAGCTCCCTTTCTCTACTTCTGTTTCTGTTCTTCTTTGAAACCGTTTTTCAAGGGTTCTCAGAAAGGAGCCGAGGCAAACACTTATCTTGAATCTCGCCAAGCTTGGTTGGCTTTTTGTTTTTGTTCTTTGGGGCCTTTTCAAGTTTTTCTTTTTATCCTGTTTTTATTACTATTATTAATTGCATACTTACTACAATTACAAAAGACAAAAGCGGGACTAGAAAAAAATGGGCCAAGTTGGCTTTAAAAGAGCTACCAATTTGGTTTCCATTCTGAAATTCTAGATGGTTTCCATTGTAT